AAGCCTCTTGAGTTGTCAAGAACTTTTACTTTGACATTTGTCATGACATTGTTCCTAAATCATTTGTCAAGTCTTCTAGTCGCTTTTTTAAACCTTTTTGCAAGTAACGCAATAGAGTTGGACATGTTTTCATCAGTATCCTCTACTTCTTGCTCCTTGTCATCTTCCACACCAGTTTTAAAGGCAACACATTTTCTCTTTTTCTGGGTTTTGTCATTAATAGCCATTTCAAAAATTAGTAATGAGCCAATAAGTTCATCTACTTTGATTGAACTGATGTCGTAAGGTTCTTCCATAGCTGTAACTTTCATCTCAAACTTATTTGGAAGAGACCTGAGAATTTTTTTGGCTAGTTTTACTTCATGAATTTTTTCACCAAGAGCAAACGAGTTATTTGCTATGTCACAGACACGAACATAGAAGTCATATATGATTTTGTATTCTTTCATTCTTCGATTCTCAAAATTGGTGGTGAGAAGTTGGAGTATTGACATGCAAACTTTTGAGGTTCCTTCATGTACAATCTCTAGAATCTCTCAAGCTTTTTTGACTTTAGTACATGTGTTAATGAGATGAAACACATTTTTGTCTACACCGTTGAATATAAAATTGAGAGCTCAAGAATTTCCATGAGATTCATCATCTACCTCTTTGGACCAATTACTTCTGGCTTCAAATATTGAGTACCATCTTGTGCATTAATTGACCATCGGGTGTGTCCATCCTTTGATGATTGCCTTCCATGTTTTGTTGTCCATGGATTTGATAAAGCAGTCATGCAAGCTTTCTAATAGTCATGGTTTGTGGCATCTAGAATAGGTGGTCAGTTAACAAATCCTTCTTCTTTACCGTTATCCATTTGATCAAAACTTTGAGATTCCTAGAGCTCACTCAACCAGAACAGGGTGCTGCTCTGATGCCAATTGAAATTTTGTTCTCCTTGTAGAAAGATGTCAAACACAACGTGCCAACCAATGTCTATGACAAGATTAATGTAGCAGAAGTAAAATGAAAATAAAGTAAATAAGATACAAGGAATTGGTAACCCAGTTTGATGCAATGTCACATACATCTAGAGGACGTTAACCCAAAAAAAGGAAATCCACCCTTAATAGTAAAAGTATAAATTGGTCTTAGATGAACTCTTCTAGTTCAATGCTTTTTCCCTCCTTAATATTACCCGTGGATTTATATTTATGACTCCCCTTAAATACTAAAACACAAAGACTTAACAACTAAAATAGGCCTTGCAATATCTCTCAAGGTATGAGTATTTTGTATGGAAAGTTTCTCCTTTAATAACACAACATCCAGTTGCATTTGGCGTTTGGGTTTTATAATGCTTGCATCTAAAGAAACACCATAAAAAACGCAACTTAAAAATATGATTTAATTTGATTTACAATCAATCATAAATTAAATCTATATCTATCTGATTTGGACTTAATAATTGATCTTTAGAGGATTATTTCCTTAATCCTAAAATCGCATAAACAATCCCCCATTAAGAAAACAAATCAGGCGCGAGATATCGATACTGCGTAGCTTACTTCTTAGGCATAATGTTCAACAATGTGTGGGACATCTTGTTCTGCATCTTTTCCTTATGTTTTGAACGTATAGCGACCAAATGTATCAACACAATGACATGACATCTTGCTTTACAAGTACTCTATAAAAATGTGTCAATCACTTGTTAAAAAAACATACTTTTTTTGTTTTGGAAATGGTGGGCCAACACCCCAATGGGATTACTCTTTTGACTGATGCTAATGTTCGCGCCCCTCTGCATCATGGCCTTGTCTAGACACGCCTTCCTTTGTGCTAACAAGATAAGGGGCATCTTTTCTGCATAAAATAAGTTAAAACAATAACCTCATAAATATGATAGACGAAAAAGAACAAAAATAATTGCATAAATTAACTTACACAATATGATATCAAATCTCACTCGGCCCCTTCCACGCCATTAAATCCCTAACATTCAAGGTCTACATATATTTCAAGAAATCAATCCCCATCTTTTTCGGACTTGTTATTCTCATCATAGTTAAAGTTCATTATTGAAACATGGACACTCGTCCAATATAGGGGTAATGTGCAAGCCCCTTCAACATAATCAATGAAAAACATGAAGAAAAAAATATTTTGTTTCAATTCTTGTAATTTTAAGAATACATGAAAAACATACATCAATTTGAAAGGTCAAAATTAAACGTATTTTCCAAGAAACTTATTCATAACCACTTTAAATGTGAAACTTAAAGGTTTGCACATACACCTCTGGATAAGAAAAATGAATTGTTTTCGCCAATCGGACGGCCATGAGTGACCTAACTATAGCCATACTATAACACCATCTTTAAGCATGCCTCATTCTTAATCATTTCTCTCTTACAAGCCTCATGTTTTTGGGGATGTGAACCTAAATATGTTTTTTAACTACTTTGCCCTTACGAGTTTCATGCTCGAAGGTTATAGATCGTCATGTGTTTTCTTAACCATTTTTCCATTACAAACCTCTTTGGGGCTGTGGACCGTTATGTATATTCTAGCTTAATCCTGTGTAATCTTAACAACCTCAATCCACTTGTTTATGATCACGTGAGATGTATGTAGATTACTTCAATGAAGTTAGACGACGTTGAACACATGTATGGCATTCATGTGAGCTCGCTACATACTACTATATATTTGAGAATGAGTCATCCACCACACTCACTAATGGAGTGATGTCATGTGAGTCATAATCGAGATTGTAGTTCCAAGATCTTGCATGCTTCGCTAGCCACGTCTCATTATATTTTGGCACGTGAGTCTTGGGGAGGAGTCATCCACCACACTCACTAATGGAGTGAGGTCATGTGAGTCATAGTCGAAATTGTAGTTCAAATATCCTGTATGCTTCGCTAGCCATGTCTCATTATATTTTGGCACGTGAGTCATCCACCATGCTTCTTGATAGAACAAAGTCATGAGAATTATTGACAAGATTATAAGCTCAAGACTTAGCGTTTTTCATAAAGTCATAAAGAGTTATATATACCCATCTTAAGAGGTTTTTTTTTGGTGGGGTGAGAAAAGTTTTTTTTTCCTTTCTTCAAAGACATATATGCAAATAATTACTAAAAAGTTAAAATAAATATAATATTAATTTTTTTTATTAAAATAAAATTTAAATTTATTATATATTTAAATATTTAATAAATTAATATATGTATAAAAAATTTAAAATAATATTTTTTTATTAACATATGAGATATGGTATAGTTACCCATGAACACGGATACATACTACTCTTCTATTATCCATCACATTTGATAATATGATATCGATTAAATATCTCGATGTCTGTCTCATATTTATGCAGGACTATATCAGATGAGTGTTCGTAAATTTTAAAGTGTTCACAAATATATCCAAATATTCATAAATATTATTATTTAAATATTTTTAAAAACATTTTAATTAACTAAAATTATTTTTCCTCTTTTTAAAATATATAAAATTAATATCAAATTTAACCTATAATAATAATAATAACAATAAATCACATTCATTTTATTCCTTATTTAACCACATAATAATAATAATAATACAAATAAAAACATTATTATTATTATTATTATTATTATTATTATTATTATTATTATTATTATTATTATTATTACTATTATTTTAAATTCAACAAAATAATATCTAATAAATTTTGATAATTATCAATAAATACAAATATCAACTTACACAAGTACATAAAATCTAAATTTGTACTCGAAAAATATTTGTTTATTTTATCAGTAGATATTCAATACTCCATTAATGAGGGTTTTAGTCATTGATACCTACAAGTATGTTTTTTTTTCCATCCCTAGATGAGATTCAAAGGTGGATGTGAAATTGATATCAGCATCCTCTCCTCTAACCCGCATCAGATGCACCGGAGTTTCTCCATCCAAATCCAAACCCTTATCAGATGGATCAGAGGGTTTTCTGATTATGTGTTATTATGCCTATTCTTTAAGTTAGGTTTATACACAAACCCAAATTAAAAACACACTTTTCTTTAACAAGACATAGGCATTTACATGTACATCGTGGTTGGTTAGATGTATCATCAAAAGAGATCGAGATTAGACTCATCCAATTGTTTAATAGTATACTTTGCACAAATAAACAGTTTCTTGTGTCAAATCTCATGAGTAAAATTTCCAAAACAGTTTTTGTGTAGTGTATTGGCAGCACCCAGTTTGAGACTTAGTTTTGACCAAAAGAAAACAAATAGCACTACCAACACCAACAACTCCGGTTCAAACTCCAAAGCATGATGACTAAGCTTCTAATTCTTGACGGTTTGAAGCATCATATCAACTCATCAGACTCTATATACCTATTACCTATCCCTATAACTAAAGAACTTGTAATTAACTAAAACAAAACTACACGAAATCACTGAACTAACAGCACATAAAGAGGAAAAAGCTTCAAAAAGACCCATCCCTGAAATCAAAGTATTAGGAGTAGTAACATACAATAACATTGCTATATTCACGTTCACAATGATTCACTGATTTTTCAACAAGAAGAAACTGCACCTTACCTACCTAATGTAAACAACACCTGACGTGAAAATCATCCTTATATTATTTTCATCATATAATTAACATTAATTTAAGATAGAAACATTTTATTACAGATTTTGCAGTGTCACAGAGCCATTTCAGTATCATTTTTAATGCATAAAAAACCACTCAAAAACACTGCTTCTGCTTCTACCAACAGTACATGATGCTCCGTGTAGATTAATCCATTTCCAAAGGTATCCTTTCTAACATTGCAGTGACTTAATCTCAAATCACAACTTCTGCATAATCAACAAAAATCAAACTAAAAAAATTAATAACATATGCAATGCAAACATGCATACATAAAATGAAATGAAAAATAGTTGATTTAACAAAACCTAACATCGGTAAGTTTGATGATCTATGATTGCTTACTAGCTAAGTTGCATTATTTGATGGTGGTGGTAGTTGTTGCTGTTGCTGTTGTTGAGGGCGTTTGCGCTTCTTTTTCTCATAGCTAATACCTCTAGCTTTAGATTGTGAATCCCTAACTTCACGAAGAAAAAGTCTAACAGCACGAGCACCAAAAGGGTTATCTTCAGGTTTTCCACCGTTTTCTTCAAAAGCAGCTCTCAATCTTCCAATCAGTGCATCAAGGCTTCCCCAAGCTTGTCGAAGAGGACAAGGACAAGGTGCAGGTGGATTTGGATGACCAAAAAACGGACAAATCTGTGAGTGAACCTTAGTTTTCCCAAACTGATCTAAATATCTTAGGAACTCAAGAACATGTGCTCCACTGCAACGTGAGAGTGAAAGCGGTGGTCTATGGTTTCTTAGGTATTGTCCAAAAGTGTTCCAGTCTCTTCTTTTCTGATTCTCATAGCGACTTAAGGTATTTGCTGGCTGTGGTGCTGAGGAGGAAGAAGATGAAGATGTGAAGTTTGTAATGTTTTTGTCTTCTGATGATGTTGATGTGGTGAAGTTGATGATATTTTTTGTTTGAGTATTGTTTGACGAGTTGAATTCTTCAAGTGAATTCATGACTTAGATTGGATCTTGATCTTGATAATGAAATTGAAATTGATCTGAAAGGGTTTTTATTGAAGTAAGATTTGATATAGAGTAAGAGAGAGTAAGAAAGAGTAAGAGAGAGAAAGGGGTAAAAGAATAGTGAAGACTATTTTTGCTACAAGGCTATTGTAGCTACATGTTTGAATTCTTTTGGATTTTTGATAACTCCTAGAATACTTGAAAGTGTAGGAAGAAGTAAGTAGTGAGTGATGTTAGGAGCTTTATAGCAAAAATCCATTTTAGGAATTGGCAGTGTTTTCTTTTTATATGGAAAATTTGTGTTGCTTTAAATTGACCTATCAAAGTGAGAAAGGAGCAGTGGTTTGGACTTTAGGGTTTTTTGTGGAAATGGAAATAGGTTTGAAAAAAAATGACTGTGAGATATGATTGATGGAGACAGATAAAGTTAATGAATGAGTGGGGGTAATAAATTAAATAATTTTTTTTTGTTGCTGATTCTCTTTCTTTTGTTGATTGACAACACCTTTGGGGAAAATACTTATTTGCCCTTCCTTGTCTGACAGGAATATAATGGGATCATCAACCTTATATAGTTGCATATGAGTAGACAGTAGGGCTTTGTAAATTGATCATTATTAGATTGTTACTTTAAAAGAAGTGCTAATCCCTAGATATGATGTGTTTTTATTTTCAGATTATGATGATTTCAATCTTAATTATGAAAATCACTTTTATTACTACTAAATTGTTACTGTTAATAATTTATTAAGAGATAGTACTACTTTGAACTTATCATGCTTATTAAGAATAGTTTTAATTTTACTTTAAAAAATATCATGATTATTAATTTACTTTTAATTAAACTTTTATCTTTGTAATTGATACAAACATAATTTTGAAATTAAGATATTAAATATGTTTATATTTATTTTTATAATTTAAAAAACTTTTACTTATAAATATGAATTATGGTCGGAAGTAGGGCTGGAAATGAGTCGAGTCGAGTCGAACTCACCTCAGCTCAGCTCGACTCGTTAAGAATTGGTTCGAGTTCGGATTCGAGTTCGAGTTTGACACGACCTTTTTTTTAAGCTCAAACTCGACTCGTTAGAAGTTCACGAACAGTTTGACTCGACTCGTTAGGTTCATCTCATTAGGTTCAGCTCACATGATTCACGAACTTAAAAACTATTTTTTTTAATATATATATATATATATATATATATATATATATATATATATATATATATATATATATATATATATATATATATATATATATATATATATATATATATATATATATATATATATATATATATATATATATATATATATATATATATATATATTAGTATATTTGACATTTTAAATAAATATATTTTTTAAAAATAAATTATTAAAATAAAATAAAAGTTATCATATTGAAATTTAACTTTATCTTCGAAATCTACTAATTCAAAACCTACACAACTTTCAAGAGATACATTTGAGAGTCTAATTCAAAAACTACTAAATTGAAGATTAAATTTGTCTAAGATTTGGAGTAAATATTTAAACCTAATCTTAAAGACAGTATAATTATTCTCATGTGTAATCGAGTTGACTCATGAACCTAACGAGTCGAACTATGTATAATTCAAGTTCAGCTCATTTAGTTAACGAACTTAATTTTTCGCTCATACTCAACTCATTTGGTTCATGAACATAGTTCAACGATTTAATTATCGAATCGAATTACGAACTATTTTCGAATTGGTTCGGTTCATTGTCATCCCTAGTCGGAAGGAGCATGCATTTATTTGTTGAATAGTTTTAATTTAACTATAAATTTTTTATTTTCTTTAACTTTTTTATTATAAAAATTTGTTAAATTAATTTATTAATTCATCTCATGTAAATAAAAGTTTGAATCTTAAGTAAAAGATATTTTAATGTGGTGGTTATTTAGGTATGATAGGAATTAAGTAAGTGAAATTTTTATTTTGAATTCAAAAGGTATCTATTTTATAGACACTTTATTCTTAACTACACGGGATAATATTCTTAATAAACAAGAATCGATATTATAAATTTTATAAAATTATGAAAATTATAACATCAAGATCAAAAGTAAATTTTACTATGAAAATTAAAAAATGAATTTTAAAAATAAATTTGTCAAAAATAATTATTTTTACATGATTAATTCTATCACAAAAGAAAAAATATATTTTATGTTTTCAATGATATTTTAAATCAAGTATTTTTATAAAATAATTATAAATGTGTGAAATATTTATTAAGAGATACTACTATAGAGTAGTGGAGAACACCATCTTAGTTAGTATTTTTTTTTATAACTAGTTCATAACATCACATATCTTCCTAAGAAAAATAATTTTGGGTTGATTTTCTATACCGTTTATTTGGGAGGAAATTTAATTTTAGTAAAAAAATAAAATAAAACATTATATATTATGTTGTTGACTCAATGGTTTGTCTTATAGTAGATTCAAAGAGTCTAAGTTATATTGACCATAAAAATGTCCAAGTTATAGAGATATTTTAGAGCTTCTATTAGGAGATAAAATATCTTAATTTCAGTAAATAAAAAACAATAAAAAAAATAGAGGGAACTGAACATTTCAATGGAAAATTACTCTATCTATTTTGAGGCTCTTAAATTAATTGAACCATTCAAATTTCAAATCGATTTTTAAACATTAGTCTTAATTAGTATTTTGAACTATTCATTTGAGAAATTTATAAAAATGGTAATTGACAGAAATTATATAATTCAATTTAATCATATTCTAGATATAGTTTTATTTATTATTGAAATTTGAAGTTAACTTGGTGGTTGAAGTGAAGAAGTCAAAGAGTCAGATTGATAAGGAGGTTAAAGATTCTATCCTATCTACAACATAACACTAACTATTTTTTTAACAAAATTAAAATATACTACTATCTCATTAAAAGAGAAATTGCTTCACCTTTTATGGTTGAGAGACAATGGTTAATTATGTAAGTTCTGGCCATAAAAAAGTACTAAGAAAGTCTGAAATATACATATCAATCAATCTTCATGTATACTCTTTGGCGAAACTTGCATTGCATATGAAATAATTAAAAGACCGTACTATCCAAAGAAAACAAAGCATAAAATTTTATTGGTGTAAAGTAAAATTCTGTGACCCACATTGATTTTTATTTTAGGAATATAGATTCTATTATTTTAAAAACAAAATTCAATAATTAGTTTAAGTCCCACATAAATTTTATTGGGCCAATATAAATTTCAATAAAAAAAAAAAGTGTATTTTCGAATTTGGAAATAAATTTCAGATGTCTTTGGTTGGATTGAGAATATGTTCATCAATGATAGATTTTTTAAATTGTTTACGATCGATTATTCTAAAGGGTAGGGGTTTGAGGTTGGAAGGTGGATATATGAGACTTTCATTTGAGATTTTATAAAAGAGGTTTTTACTCGTTCATGAAGAATCTATTGCTGCATAATTTCTCTAGGTCGTGCGAAGACGTCTTTTTTCTTGGACATTGTATTAGCCTTAAGACGGCTTTTACCCATGCACTTAAGACGGCTTGCCATTGTATTAGCCTTGGAGAGATTCATCCTCGACTAACCAACCCTTGGAATTAAATGCCCCAGATGAACCGTTTTCTTGAAGCGTTTTCTTTTGATCAAGCCTTGCAGCGGTCTAGCCCAGATTGATTGAGCTTTAGAGGGTATTGCCCTTGATTGATTGAGTTTTGAAAGGTATGCATGAAAAGGAACTTAGATCCCTCTATGCTTTGATACGCCGTTGATATGAACTGCCCCAGTATTTAAATCTTGAAAAGTATGCCCTCGATTAATTGAAGTCTGGAGGAATGACTTGAAAAGGAACTTGGATCCCACCATGTTATGATATGACCTCGATAAGGACTACCCCCAATATTTGAATATTGAAAAGTGTGTCCTAGTGTTTGAATCTTTGAAGGGTATGCCCCTGATTAGATTGACTCTTGGAGTGGTTGGCCTCACTGTATCCTCGAGTTGGTATGCCCCAGTATGAGAGGTTTGAAAGTTCTACCCCCTTATTATTAGAGTCATGAAAGTGTTTTTTACATAGGTGTGTCAAATCTTGAAATGTTTTGCCCCTAATCAGTAGGATCTTCAGATAATGTGCCCCTATGATCATAAGGATTTGACCTTGATCGGTAGGATCCTTAGGTGACTTGCCCCTAGTCAAAAGTGTCTTGAAGTGGCGTACCCCTGATTAGACCTTTGTTGATATTTCCTTGGTGCTAAGTATTGATTCGCGAGTAAAATTATTATCTTTGAAAAGTAATTATAACGCCACGTTCATGCAAGTTTTTGAAGTCAAAGATTATTATGGAAAACGGATATGGTGTATACATATGATATTTGGCCATGAGGTTGGCACAAACGGAGACGTGAAAATGTGGTTAGCGATAAGTTAACAAACATTCGAAGTCAGTTTAACAACAATTCTGTTGAGTATGCTTTTATAGTGCCCCTAGCTTCAATTAGGACTTTTAAATGTTGTAACGTGGTCTGGTTCACAGTTTAAGAAACAAAGGATACAAGGCTCAAAATTTGAAATTTAACCCACCCCATTCTCCTTGATGTTCTCCATTCCTAAATTCAATTAACTCAATAGATGCGTCAATCTGCAAGAGAACTTTGGCAGTCATGGTGATGAAAAATGTACACTGGTTTATGCACTTGATGAGATCCTTGAGGTGGCAGACACCCACTCCCATTTATAAGATTGTTCCATTTTCTTACTTCTTTTTTTCTTCTTGCTTTTAATCCCTATTTTTGCATGGACCAATTCTTTTGAGTTTGTGGTCCATCGGGATGCCCTAATTTTTGCCTAAGTCAACTTTTTTCAAGTTTTTTCTACTTCTTCTTTTTCAACTTAGCGGGATCTTTTTTTTGGAAACAAATCTCGAGTTTTTGCTTTTGGTTTCAAACGGTTACGACTTCCATGTTGACTTTT